AAGGCTGAAGGGAGAAAGCCCCATGAGATCACGTGTGTTTTAGATTATGCTAAGATTCAAATCATTCACGTCAAGCTTAGAGATTTCCTGGGAGTTCCAGTAGTAGGGAGGTTATCGTTGGTCCTTTTTTGCCTATTATGTCCTTATTTGGTCACACAGGACTGACATTCTTCTGTTGTTTCTCTCTTGCATTATCACTTTAAAGTGATTTTTGCTCAATTTGTTTATTGCGTTGTGGTGTGCAAGACTAATGTTAATTCATTTCTCTTTTTCAACCTTGCATACAGATACTGGTTCCAGACTCCAGAGGCATGGACAATTGACGGGCATTTCCGATCTCTTATGTACATGAGGCCACTGGCAATATGGGGCATGCAATGGGCACTATCAATACCCAAGAAAATTCTTGATGCTCCCAAAATCAATATGATGGACAGACTCCACATTTCGTCCGTTAGTTCAAGATTCTCTCTGAGTCTGAGTGACACCGGTATTGGGAAGATAGCAAAGAAAGCAAAATGTTTGGGAAACTCCGTATTAAACTGCGCATGCTAATATTGCATGTAAGTTCTTTTCTGTAAAACAATGTTTGTTGTTTTTTTATTCTCTTGAACCCTTCCTGGAAGAACTAGATGCAGGTATGGGATGGGGAAATTTTTCACTGGAGTCAGATGAATACAAACTATATCCAATTAGGTTGACAATTATAGAACTACTTTTTTATTTATAAAAGTATATAGTTCTTTGTTCCTTTCAATTTAATCACTAAATTGGATTTGTAACAGTTCTTTTACATCCAAAATACCCATGTCATTCTTGGTTTGTTTCCGATCCAAACAAAAGGGAATTTTCGGCAAGCATCTAGAGTTGGAGATCTCAGAACTCTTGTAACAACGTTAATTATCTCATAATTATTTGGGCTTAGAAAAAATTAATAAACAATAATTGTGTTATTAAAATGAAAAATCGAGATTAAAGGAAGCATAACATTGATTAGACTTTATCATGATTTAGGAAAATGCCCTAATATTTAGACGTTAGTATGCCGTTACGGTATAAGATGAAAAGCCACTTTCTATTAACAACTTAAGTTTTTGATTTTTATTTTCATAGGATGATGAAGAGTTGTTGATCCCATCTCAGACTTCATAAATATTACCATTTTATGTCGATCTTTCTTTGAAAAAAGTTCTAACAAAAGCTTCACAATCATGTACATAGTGTTTTTTTACCAAGAAAATTTCATATCTTGTTAGGCCAACAAATAGTTAATTGAATAATATTTTATGAATATATTGTTATGTAATATGACACAATCAGGTTACAAATAAAACAAACTACAAACTCAATTATAACTTACAAGAGGTCATGCTACACCTTGTCTTGACTATGTTGAAAACTTAAATTATTTCATTATATTTTTTATTTTGTTTGACAATAACTACAACTATCGTTTGATTAAACTGTTATTAGTGAAGTAAATTGGCCAAGAAGACTCATATAATTTGAGCTTAAGGTGCACCTTATTGAGTATTTTTTAATAATTTTGGAGTCCTCAATGTTTTTATTTATTTAAGATTCAAATGCAAAATCAATAAAAGGTATTACAGTTCCAAATTTTGTTTACAAAATCATATTGACGGTTTTTTCAGTGGGATTCATGAAGCATGAGGTGTCCAAGTTCATAAGCAAAAATATTGTTTTCATGTATATCAGATGTATCTAACATACAGGAAGCAAAATGGCATTTATCTGAGTTTCATTTACTAATGCTGTTAAAAGGCAACCTAAAAAACTGCTGTTGAGGCCAAATACATATAGTCAATTGCTAATGTTAATTGTACTTTCTTCTTCTTCTTGTTATGAGCTATATGCTAGGTCTGTTGAATATTTCAATAATATTATAAAAAAAATCATGGATATTGAAATATTGCAGTAAACTTGTTTTTTTTATCAGCAAAATAATTTATTTTATTTTATTTAATGGAGTATAAGAGATACTCCTGCCCTTTTACAAAAAAAAAAAACAATTACTCCCTGCACATTGAAAAAGACACTGCAGGTGCACAAGAATTATAAAAAGCCTCCCAAAAAACAAGAATAATCAGTAAAGAACGCACTTCAACTTAAGGACTGAAGTCATTTCTATTGCTGATTAAACATCTTCAAGGATTTCCTGTACCGCTTCAGCTCCCTTGCACACTCCATCGGGTTACTTTGCCATTGGACCAACGAAAAAGCACAACCAACCACCTTATTTCTTACCCAAAAGTGAGTCTTAACTTGAATCAACTCCAACAATTGCTCCCTAATATCCTCCTCCCTCCGAAATACCAAAACATTTCTCCAATACCACAAATACCAAGCAGTAACAAGAAAAATGCAGGATCCCATCTCCTTGCCTACCAAACAAATATTGCAATAAACTAATACTCAAATCCAAAATCTACTCATTGTAGAAATTGGTTATGACTTTGTCATCACAGCCCTTGATCATGCCGACCTTTTTTTGATAATCTATATATTATTAAATAAATAAATGTATATAATATTATAATTTTTGATAGATTAATGGCATAGCTAATATTAGGAAATAGGGAGGGCACTAAGGGGATTTCGCTAGTATTGAAGTTGAGGGATGCACACTGCCAAATAAACTATACCAAAGTAGTACATAATAGTTTGTATTAATTATGAAAACAACCTAGAAACAAATATTTCTTTGCATAATTTAAAGATTTTTAAGGTTAAATATAGATTAAACAAGTCCAATAGTGGTGGAACTAGCAAATTTTTTTGGGGGCAAAATGAAACCTTTATCAAGAAATGGTGCATTTGTATGCTCATTGAAAGATTATATGGCAAACTTTTTAAATTAAATTGTTTTAAATAACATATGTTAGTTTTTAATAATAAATTAAAAGTGGTTGATGACGTATATGCTATTGATTTAAGAACAAAGATGAACATATATTGATTAGAAAAATATTAATGAACAAAAAGAGGAAAGTATTAAGACTATTAATTAATGAATAAATAATTTGTAAAATGATGATAGTAAATAATTTTTTATTTGATTGGTCTTCAGTTTTCCTCATATTTTATATTGTCTTTATTTTCTTCTTGCTAATAATCACAAAAAAAAAAAAAAAAAA